GTCCAAGGATGCTCAGAAGTTAAAGATGCTCATACTGGATGCCCCAAATGACATGATGCGATATCATGATGGAGGATGTGCCATGATGGCTCATGATGCTCCATCACATGTGTAGCTGATGTTCATGCAATTTCTCTCAAGGGTGAAGGCTTAGAAGCAATTCCATGGAAAATTGTGATCGCTTGAAAACTTTTATGGGCCAACAGATTGATGGTCTTAACACATTAGGGTTTTAGGTATTATCCATAGTCTATAAATAAGGATGTTGCTAGTCATTTTTATAAGGTCTTGAATTTTAGTGAGTAGGCGAAAATTTATGAAATTATACTTGTAATCTCTGTTTTAGAATTCGCGAATAATAATACTGTCCTCCTACTTGTAGACGTGAACCACCTTGACCGAACCACATAAAAACTATGTGTTTGTGTGTGTGGTTTCATGCATTACCCGCTTTACTATCTAACAAGTGCTATTAGAGCTTGACAAGTGGCATCAGATCTATTATGATTCTTGACAAGTGACATACAATTTCTTAACAAATTGTTTATATAAACTAAAAACTAGTCCAACACACTGCCAAATGTAACTCTGCAACCATAACTATCTACCAAATTTTCATCTCTAAACCATAACTATAAACCTTTAAATGGTGTAATCATGGGGTTAAGAATCGAAAAGAAATACCATAAAAGAAGATGCATCAACAAAGAGCCATGACAATAACAAAGTCTAAATCATAACTATAAACCTTTAAATGATGCAATAATGAGGCTGAGAACCGAAAAAAGTACCATTGAAGAAAATGCATTGAAAAAGAATCGTGGCGATAACAAAGAAAAATACTCGATGAGACATGTCAGACATAAAACTTGAACAACAAAACAATGATATGATAAAGATTCAAGAAAATGAAGCGATGAAATATAGAGATCTAAGAAGATGTATAATAGAGAGGAATAAATTTTGTGTGGTACTGTACATGGAGAAAAATAAAGAAATATTTTAGTAAATGAGTAAAAAGGTAAAATAGAGATGTTCAAATGTACTAATGCACATTTCTTTTAACTCACACTATTAAGACTTATCGTATATATGAAGTTCGAAAGAAATGTTATGATATATGTTTTGAATAAGTTTTGTGTGAATTAAACCATTAAATGAAAAACTAGGCACTAATTATAAGGTATCAAAATAAAGGGACTAAAATATCATTAAAGGAATTTATAGGTACTAATGGTACATTATGTAACGCCCGTGTTTCTAGACTTGCCATTTTTAGCAATGTAATAGTCTAGGTTAAACTTTGTAACTAAATTTGAAATAATAAAAATGTATTATTTGTGAATTAATTGAATTATGTGATTTATGTGTGTGTTTTCTTAATTTTTATAATTTAATGAATTAAGAATAAAATAAGCGTCAAAATTAAAGTGTGAGATAAGCCCGATATCTTTGCATAAAGTTGTAGTGGTTGAAACAAGGATTCCGGAGATATAAGGAATGCCAAAATCCGAGTTATAACGAAGAAGCTATGACATGTCGAAGTTTCGAGACAGAACCGGCACGACGCCGAGTGACGTAAAATATGAATTTAAGATAGAGCGATATTTAGCCTTAGCGATCTAAACGAAAGTCGTAGATTTCGTTAAACCGAGAGCGTGCATAAAAGGAACGCCCAAATCTGACTTCGTATGAGGAAGTTATGATTTTTCTAAGTTTCGACTTAGCAGTATGCAGCCCGAATACTCGATTTGAGATTGAGCGGTTTTTAGCCGAAACAATCTAAATGATAATCGAAGATCTTGTTGTTAGTAGCGAAACAATGAAAAGTTAGGCGAAAACGGACGTCAGACGAAGAAGTTATGAATTTATAACGAAGTTTTTCTGTCCCGGCCTTCTAAAAATGAATAATAAAAATAAAAGTCAAAATTAACCGACGGAGTCTAAATGAAAGTTGTATAGTATGGTCTGACCTTCGCGTGGATATAAAGAACGTCGAAAACGGAGCTCGTATGTGAAAGTTACGCAATTTAGAAGTTCAACGAGTCAATTACGCCCAGCGTAATTTGAGTACGCCCAGCGTACTCAGTCGGATGCAACTTGTCTGACCAATACTCGAGTGCCACCAGTCGACGCACGCAGTGACGTCAAAGTACGCCCCGCGTAACGCGAGTACGCCCCGCGTACTGAGTACGCCCTGCGTAATCCCAGACCCAACAGCCTATAAATAGAACTCGAATTCAACCATTTTCTCTTGTTCAAACTCTTCCCTCTCTCTAAGTTTTGCCTCGTTTTGCGTGCCGTTTATACCCCAAAGCCCCGGTATCATTCCCGAGCCCCGAAGCAAGATCCGAAGCCCCGAGGATCCCGAAGAGCATTATTCCCGAGCCGAAACGCTGCCCGCGAGGAGCCCGGTTTTGTGAAGATCTTCCAGATCGACGGAGAAACACCTCTTCTGCAAGACGTAGTGCTGCCCGATCATCTTCTGATCAAGTGAGTGTGTAGTTATTTTCATTCCAACGCAATATTATGAAATATTTCATATAAAATACGTGTTATGTGTATATATTTGGTTGTTATACGTGTGAGTGTATATTCACTCTCTTCTATCTTATAGATCTGATGTATTCTCTATGAAATACGTGTTATGTGTGTATGCCTCATCTGTTATGTGGAATATGTATTGCTTAAAGCATGTTATACAGGTTTTTAAACAATGTATAAAAATGTATATTTTTATCTACTAATATGTTGGGTAGAACATCGGTAGGTAATTGGTGTGTAATAAACAGATGAGAGGCCTCGGTGTTATTGGTGTTATTCTAGTCATTCAGCATAGTATGGATGACGACCACAGACTATTCTACACTGTCATGTGGAACACTAGCAGGCTCATTACCTGTAGGTGTTGTGAACGACGTGTTCACCGGTGTACTCTATCCCCCACATGGTTGCCTTTAGGACACTTAATGTTGAGGAAGCCCCTCTGCAGTAATGTCCGTCCCGATGAAAAATCCTGAAATAGGTTCCTTATAATAGACGTTATTTTTAGGAACGTAAGGTGAGGATAACGGGAATGGGTAATCGGGTTTATTGTTGATTGTTGAAATTAAATATAATTATTGTGGGTTGAAAACCCTATATGCTCACCAGGCTCCCAAGCCTGACCCACTCAGTTGATTTATTTTACAGGAAGTGGCGCAAGAGCTTAAGATGGGCGAACATCAAGTTGTTTTGTTTACAAGTCTGTATATGTATATATTTGTTGAATGACTTGTAATGCTATCGTTTATGCTTTATGATCTGTATCGGAACATGACATCCCGACTTTTGATTATGAAATGAAATCATATTTCTTTATGAAATGTTTTGATAAATATCTATTTCATCATGTTTTGTTTTTGGGAACAAATTCCGCATCTCTTTTAAAATTAAAAGGATTTACTCTGAAAATTATTTTAAAAAGCATAAATGAAATCGGTCTTTTCTGGCCGAGATTTTGGGGATGTCACACATTATACCAAAAAAAGTGAGACCAAGTCACCAAACGCCGTTTTTCCTTCCCTTAATGAGCATGATATGCTACTTGAGCATCATAATGCGCCATTTAGGGGCATGATGTGCCACACAGGATCATGATTCACTATTGTGGCTCATGATGCACCAATCAAGTTACAAGGTACGTTAAAATGCTCAAGGTAGTCCAAGGATGCTCAGAAGTTGAAGATGCTCATACTGGATGCCCCAAATGACATGATGCGATATCATGATGGAGGATGTGTCATGATGGCTCATGATGCTCCATCACATGTGTAGCTGATGTTCATGCAATTTCTCTCAAGGGTGAAGGCTTAGAAGCAGTTGCATGGAAAATTGTGATCGGTTGAAAACTTTTATGGGCCAACAGATTGATGGTCTTAACACATTAGGGTTTTAGGTATTATCCATAGTCTATATAATAAGGATGCTGCTAGTCATTTTTATAAGGTCTTGAATTTTAGTAAGTAGGCGAAAATTTATGAAATTATACTTGTAATCTCTGTTCTAGAATTCGCGAATAAAAATATTGTCCTCCTGCCTGTAGACGTAAACCACCTTGACCGAACCACATAAAAACTATGTGTTTGTGTGTGTGGTTTCGTGCATTACCCGCTTTACTGTGCTATTAGAGCTTTACAAGTGGCATCAGATCTATTCTGATTCTTGACAAGTGACATACAATTTCTTAACAAATTGTTTATATAAACTCAAAACTAGTCCAACACACTGCCAAATGTAACTCTGCAACCATAACTCTCTACCAAATTTTCATCTCTAAACCATAACTATAAACCTTTAAATGGTGTAATCATGGGGTTAAGAATCGAAAAGAAGTACCATCAAAGAAGATGCATCAACAAAGAACCATGACAATAACAAAGTCTAAATCACAACTATAAACCTTTAAATGATGCAATAATGAGGCTGAGAACCGAAAAAAGTACCATCGAAGAAAATGCATTGAAAAAGAATCGTGGCGATAACAAAGAAAAATACTCGATGAGACATGTCAGACATAAAACTTGAACAACAAAACAATGAGATGATAAAGATTCAAGAAGATGAAGCGATGAAATATAGAGATCTAAGAAGATGTATAATAGAGAGGAATAAATGTTGTGTGGTACGGTGCATGGAGAAAAATAAAGAAATATTTTAGTAAATGAGTAAAAAGGTAAAATAGAGATGTTTAAATGTACTAATGCACATTTCTTTTAACTCACACTATTAAGACTTATCGTATATATGAAGTTCGAAAGAAATGTTATGATATATGTTTTGAATAAGTTTTGTGTGAATTAAACCATTAAATGAAAAACTAGGCACTAATTATAAGGTATCAAAATAAAGGGACTAAAATATCATTAAAGGAATTTATAGGTACTAATGGTACATTATACCAAAAAAAGTGAGACCAAGTCACCAAACGCCGTTTTTCCTTCCCTCCTTACTAGTTACTACACAACACTCCATTAACTGTATGTCTCTCTCCCCCTTCACCCAAAAACACACACTACTTCACACTTTTGCTCACACACATCACACGTCTCACTTTCTCTCTCTAGAGCTATGTGATCTTCAACTTCAACAACCATGGCAGCAATATCTCATACTGTTCATTAATGGGCTCCATTCCTACACCGTAGATCCTTTCCCCGTTTCTTAAAACCCTAACCCCTGATACATGCATTAAAGACGGAAGCAGAACATGGCACAGAACTCCGACCCCAAATCACCAGCTATAGGTTCTGATGCTGACTCCTCACCTGTAATGCATCCTTCCTCTTGGGCCAAACACACCGGCTTCCGCCCTAGGTTTTCCGGCGAGAGCAATGCAAGCGACTCTGGTCAGTCTACCAGGCCCAATAATCCCTCTCCTCCTGCTTCGCTTGATCTTGAAACTAGTCGTGTACGCCCAATTCCGACTGTGAACGCCACGGCGCCAGCGCCGCAGCCGGCTAATGCTCAGGCGCACCCGCAATCGGATAATGATCAGTCGGCAACGAAAAGGAGAGACGCGCAGGGTGGTTCTGCACCGTTGCCGCCGAAGCGAGGTGCTAATGGACACGCTAGAATTGCTGCTGCGGTTGAGACGCCAACGTCGACGCCTCCTCAGCCGAGTCGGAGGGCAGCGAGGAACGGCGACATCGAAAGTACATTGCCACAGGTTTTTGATGATTCTCGTCGTTCACATATGAAGTATGAGCTTAGAGACACTCCTGGTCTTGGTAAATATCTCTACATTCCTAATTGTCGCCATTTTCGTTCAAAATGTTGTGGTTTTCAATTAAAATCCCGATTCCATGAACACAATTTCATATCCCCTATTTCTATGGATTGTTTTCAGTTCCTATTGGGTTGTATGGATTCCAACACTATCTTTCAATGTTGGGTTCACTAGTTCTGGTTCCGCTTGTGATTGTTACAGCCATGGGTGGCGACCATGTAAGCACTTGCAAATTGCAATAGATTTCATGTTAAATTCATCTGAAGTTTTCTATAATTAGTCTCATGGACATTAGTGTGTGTAGGAGGATATGTCAATGGTGGTTTCGACTGTGCTATTTGTGTCAGGAATCACGACACTTTTACAATCTAACTTTGGATCAAGATTGCCCCTTATACAAGGTCCATCTTTTGTCTTTCTTGCTCCTGCTCTTGCAATCATAAAATCCCCTCAGTTCTTGGGTCTCCATGAAAATGTAAGCTCTATCTCCATTTTGTTTCATGAAGATTTCATTCTTTCTTTATCACACTAGTTAACAACTTAACATTGTGTTTATTCTCCCTCAAACTCTTTGAAGGATTTAAGCACAAAGCAATATTGTTAAAGTAACTAATCGTATTAAATTCAATGATCATTAGGACACACAAAACATCCAACAAATCTTTGGTTTCTAAGAAGTGAAAAGACAAGATTTTTATAGGAGGGAACTTGTTTTGGACCTTAGTAACTAATTTATTGAGTGTTTCTCCATGCATTCTTCGTTAAAAAAAAGTTATTTTTTAAAATTCTAAAAGATTTGTTAATAATTTTTTGTACTAGAGTTTCAAGCATATAATGAAGGAGCTACAAGGAGCCATTATTATTGCATCAGCTTTTCAAGCATTACTTGGATACACTGGCCTCATGACTCTACTCTTGAGGTCAACCACTTCACTTCATCTTCACCTTCACCTTTTCCATAAACTTTATATAATAATATATAATATTATACTCCATAAATTTAATAAAAAGACAATTTTAACCTCAACCCTTTTCAGATTGATCAATCCAGTGGTTGTTTCCCCAACTATTGCAGCTGTTGGACTCTCTTTCTACACTTATGGTTTCCCACACCTTGGTGAATGTCTCGAAATTGGCATTTTACAGATCTTAATCGTTATTATATTTTTTCTCGTAAGTTTATTTATTTATTTATTTTTCATATTTCATTTTCAAAATTACACAAAGTTAATAAATATTCCTTCTTTCTTCTCTTTCAGTACCTTCGTAAGGTTTCCTTATTCGGGCATCGTGTATTCCTAATATACGCTGTAAGCGAACAACTTTGCGTCATTCTCTTTAAATTTCACATCTTGAAATCATCAATTTTGAATTTTTTTTATTATATATTTTTTATTTAAAAGGTACCATTGGGAATGGCTATAACATGGGGAATCACATACATTCTGACAGAAACAGGGGCATACAAATATAAAGATTGTGATGTCAATATAATATCTGATCACTGCAAAAAACATATTTCCAGGATGAAAAGTTGTCGGGCAGGGGCAAATACGTCAATTGCATTAAAATCTTCACCATGGTTTAGATTCCCTTACCCTTTACAATTTGGTACCCCTGTTTTCAACTGGAAGTTGGCAATTGTTATGTCTGTGGTGTCCATTATTTCTTCGGTGGATTCAGTAAGCCTAATCATTAATCCCCTTGTTTTGATTTTTGTTCTACATACAAGGGTATTTTGGTAATTTTGTCAATTTTTTTTTTTTTTTTTTTTTTGAATAGGTTGGGTCGTATCATGCATCGTCATTGTTGGTGGCATCTAAGCCACCTACACCGGGTGTTGTGAGCCGTGGGATTTGTGTTGAGGGTATTTCTGGCATTTTGGCTGGTTTATGGGGGACAGGAATAGGGTCAACTACTTTGACCGAAAATGTGCATACAATCGCTGTTACAAAAATGGGTAGCAGAAGAACAGTTGAGTTAGGGGCGTGTGTTTTGATCATATTATCCCTCGTGGGTAAGTAAATTTTACATTTTTGGTCCCAAGAACTTTTCTCTTTCAATTTTGGTCCTTATTTGAGGTTTTTGTAATGTTTTTGGTCCCTATTCAAGTAAAATGTTAATTTTGCAAATTTTGTTCCAAAATTTACTCATTTTACATGGAACATAGACAAAATTTGTGACAAAAACCTCAAATAATGACTAAAATTGCAAAAGAAAACATTTTGATAAAAAAAAAAAGCTATAGCAATTATCATTTATATAATATAATTTTTATTAAGCGAATCTTTTGTGTCAGGTAAAGTAGGAGGGTTAATAGCGTCAACTCCACAAGTTATGGTTGCGGGCTTGCTATGCATAATGTGGGCCATGCTTACAGCATTCGGGTTATCCAATTTACGTTACAGTGAGTCCGGAAGCTCCCGGAACATCATAATCATCGGACTTTCTTTATTTTTTTCCCTTTCTACCCCTGCCTATTTTCACCAATACAATTCCAACCACAAAGGGGTAAGTAATTAAGTAAAGCATATTTATTATTATTTAAACAATTCTTGATATATATATATATATATATATATATATATATATATATATATATATATATATATATATATATATATATATTCATGTTAAATTATTTACAGCTAAATTATGTGATGAACACGTTGTTGTCACTTCACATGGTGATAGCTTTCCTAGTAGCGATGGTTTTGGACAATACTGTCCCTGGAAGTAAGCAAGAACGAGGGGTATACGTGTGGGCCCCACCAGAGGCTGTACGTGAACCCGCTTTTATTAAAGACTACGGGCTTCCATTTAGACTTGGGAAATTTTTTAGATGGGTCAGATGGGTTGGGCTTTAGGTAGGAGAATTGAATTAGTGTACATGAGCATTTTGCCACGTGGGCCATGTTGATGGGCCTGACCCGATCCGTTTTTGATGTTTGGGGTTTTGGTAGCTATTTTATTTATTTGAGGATTTTGTTTTGTTTGCTATGGGAATTATTAGTGGAGACTGTAAAGTGGTATGAATAAATATTTTTTTGAGATGTAAATTTTAGGTTTGTGAAAATGAGAGGTTAACTAAAGCATATTTCATATATTTTGATCAAATACAAACAAACGCTTACAACATATATATATATATACACATATATAGCATACCATAAGGTCCATAACCATGACATTTGGCAATACATTAACCATAATCATGGTAAATAGCAATACATTAACCATAACCATGCATTGTTAATTTTAATTGCATAACCATTGTCAACTTAATTTATATATTAAAAAGGCATTAATAAGGGATATTATTGAACTAACCACTATGAACAAGGTTGTTAACCAAAATGACTCATTGGTTAGGTTGGATTGTTAATGAGAATAGTCTAACCAAAACAAAATATAATATAACCGAAACATTCCTTAAAGCTAAAACGTAATACTTGGTATACATGTATTTGATTACTTGTTGCCAAAATAGTGGGAATGATATGCTTTTTGCAGAAGATGTCTGGATTGATTAATATGCAACTTTGATAAACGTATTAGGCGCCTAAAACCAAGTTTAAAGATAGAAAAAATTGTATTTTGTAAGAGACCTTAAAGTCGATTACGTATTGTTCTTCCTTGGCACACTTGGTGCCTTCATAATATACTAGGAATAAAAAGCTACCTTTGATATGGTAAGTTCTTTAGCTTTCTTCTGGTTAATCAATGATTTTTTTTAGATATTCATATCTTATTTTAACACAAAAAACAATCATATTATGTTAATTTTGTGTATGATACTAAAAAAAATGCTTAATAAACAAAACACGCAGTCTGGTCCAAAATACAATGAATCGGTTTGAAATACGACAAACTCTTCTTAAACGGTGTTTGTGATGTTTTGGTTCGAGCTTATATAGACAAAACTCAAAAATTTACCAATAATAAAGTAAATTATGATATAAGACCATTATACACTATATGAATAGACAATGAATCCACACATATCTAACGTAGAATTGATAAAAATTTTGTGAAAGGGGATTGTGTTGATTAAAATAAAACCGATATGAAATAAATTATGAATGAATTGTTCCGGAGTAACTTTATGTCAACTCAGGTACTTTATGTTATGTCTCAAAAGTCCAAAACAACCAGAAATAAATCTAATTTTTGGTATGTTAGATTCCAGATTACCTTTATATTAAATCTCTGAAAGTCTAGAACATACATTATTATTTTTGATTGTACATTCTTTTTTGGCAATAATACAGGTTAAATTGTATACAAACACATATATCTAATAAAATATGTCACCTTAGTTACTTACCTCCTTCAGGGCCGACCTTATGTTTAATTGTGTAAAGGTAGGGCTTAGGGCCCCAAATTTTAAGGGGCCCCATTTAGTTTCAATCCATCCATGTCCGATACTCAATACCCCCATTCACCCAAAAAAATTACGCTGCGATTCATTCAATCTTTCTACTACAATCACGCCACAAACATCGAACGATTAAACTTCCTTTCTTATCTCCAATTCTCCATAGTCGGACTCGATTATGCCATTCTTCAATTCTTCTCTGATCGTTTCTTCCATCTGATCCACAGTCTCGCATTCTCGGCTTCTCATCTCTCGTTGTCTCGCGTTCTTGGCTTCTCATCCTATTGTCTTTGAGCCTGTGACTAATTAACAATTTGAAGGTACAATCTATCTCTTGTTTGCTAATCTAGTCTATCGTTTATTTGGGTTGCTGATTTAATATACTCAACCATATCAATATATCACTAGTAAAATACATGTACATACAAACAAGGTTTTTATTTAATATCCTATTTTAAAAAACAGAGCAATGAATCTCCGACAATTGTACAATTGTGCTCAAGAAGAATATTGAGTGGGGTTGAAAAGATTTTGATTTTTAAGTTATGGAAAGGTTACATTGATAGAAAAAATCAGTGTTGATTGGCCCAACGCTTTGTCCCAGTGCTTTAATTTAAATTGTTTGGTGAAGCATTCCTAAAAAATGTTGCTTTTTGGCTTTTGGTTCGGTTGATTGACCCTAAACTCCCTCAAAACCAAATTATGATGGAATTTACCCATATTTAAGAATGATAGAATAATTTTTTTGTTAATCTTTTCAGCTTTTTGAATTATGATTTGTAATGGCCCAATTTTCACGACTAATTTTAAACATAACTTATTATCAGAGTAAAACATCCTAGGCTAACTGATTATGGTGTGTGCACTGCAACCTCTCCGAGCTCCTCTTTTGAAAACTGAGTACCTGAAACCAAAAACTGAAACCGTAAGCACGAAGCTTTGTGAGCTCCACTAAACTACCACATACCATAAAATCATATAACATACAACACAATCATATAATATACCATACTCGTCAGGCATTTCTGGGGTGCCCGACCTACCCGGTACGGCCATTCTGGGGTGCCGACCTACCCGTGTGGCCATTCTGGGGTGTCGTCCTACCCGTACGGCCATTCTGGGGTGCCGACCACCCTTCGGTCCTAACAACCGAACCTCAGGGACTATTTCACCCCTACCACTACTACTATCACATATCATAACATAACATACTATCAAACATATCTAGGGTATCTGACTACCCTTCGATCCTAACAACCGAACTCGGGGACTATTCCCCTCCTACTACCCCTAACACATATCTCAGATCATGCTAGCATATAATCATGATTCATGACATCACCTACTGTCAGACGTATCTGGGGTGTCTGACTACCCTTCGGTCCTAACAACCGAACTCTACTACTATAACACATCAAGCTAGCATATAACATATCAGGTAGTAGCAAACCTAGATGATATCACAAAGACAATTATCTAACACATAACTCCTACTGGTGGGCCAACATTATGGTCGTAGACCCACCGCTACTGGAAGATAACTCACCTGCACTGCTGGAGTTTTTGCTGATACCCTTTTGACTGCTATCAGACACTCTCGAATTGCTGCTCCAAAAACTCCCTGATCTACGAATACCAAATATAACACTTAGTCTGACAGTCCTCCAAAAGCCAACTAAGTCAACTCCTGTCAAAGTCAAAAACTGGTCAAAGTCAACCTTCCAGGTTGACCCTACTCGCCGAGTCAGCCTACTGACTCGCCGAGTTCATAAGCTCAGAAACCCCTTTCATTCGCGACTCGACTCGCTGAGTCAGATCATGACTCGCCAAGTCTACTGATTTTTGAGTCCTAACTTGTCCAACTCACTGATCCGAGTCTTAACTCGAAAGGTTTAGGGTTTCGCAACTTGACCCGCTGAGTCCAAGGCAATCTTCAACAGACTTGCCGAGTTGTTCTTCCAACTCGTCGAGTTCTTGCCCATCTTCATACAACTCGCCGAGTTACTATGCGACTCAAGTCTGATATCTAGCCCGACTCACCGAGTCATCTCCTAGACTCGCTGAGTCCATACGTGCATTCCTATAATCTCTAGTTACAGAGCTACTCCTTTGCTCCAAACCATAGATCTGGGTTTCTAGAGTCCATTAGCAACATACAGTTGCTACCTTTACGTGCTTATTGTCCCCTAATGCCAAAAACCAAGATAGAAAGGAACTTAACTCATGGGGAATGGCTTTTGCATAGCAACTAACAGGGCTTTCTGCATCTTGGATCCAAATAGAGCTCTGATATGGAGTTTCAACTCCAGATCTAACTTGTGCACCAATTTCTCATCACATACTCTTCAAAGAAACCCTAAAACTCCATGAAAGATGGATCTAGAAAGGGGAAAGCCAAGGATAACAATTCATTACCTCCAAAACGTCCTCCTACTGAAAAAGGAATCCGAATCTCCACGAACCTCCTTGATCCAAGCTTCTTGATCTTCAAGTTTTCTTCACAAAACACTTAACAATGCCCCAATTTACTTCAAATGGCTTTCACTCACGATTCTAGGGCTTCTGGATCTCAAAGAGGAGTAAAGAGGTTAGGGAATGGGTGTAATGTTCCTTAAATAGGGTGCAAACCCCTGAATTAGGGTTTTATTTCTTGTTCAAACCAGACTCGCCGAGTCGGTCACTTATTTTACACCCAGATCCCGCTCTGACTCGTCGAGTTCCTCTGTGGACTCGACGAGTTGACCCTTTGACTTAGGGTTTTCTTTCCTTTCTTGGCCTTTCTGATTTTGAGTGTTACATGATTATTGTTTGACATCTAGTTATATAATCTTTTAAACACAATGTTTTATTATTAAATTATGTAATTATGTAATTTGTATTATAGTTATTGTTAATCTTTTCAATTTTTTGATTTTTGATTTTAGATTTGCAGATTCCATTGTTTTTGAGCATTCCATTATCTTAGGGGCGGTATAATCCTTATCCATATCTTTTATACTTACACTTATTATTAGCAAATTGTGACAACCATCAAATATTGGTCAAGTCAAAGTCAAAAAAGTCAACAAGTCAAACTGGTCAACTCAGTAACCCTTGTATACTAGGATTTACGCTATGTAATTACTATACAACTCATTATTCTAATGAGAAATCATCAATTGAAAAGTTCGTATATCTAGATTTCCTTAACCTAAAACTGTGGTAAGTAACGAACCAAACCGATAAAACCATGTTGCATACTCATCGGGAGTGTGTAGGACCCTTAAACATGGCTTAACGGGGTTTACGGACCTTGCGTTGCGAAGCCGGACACTAAAAAATGTAACAAACAAAACCTCTCTCTCAATCGTTTTCACTCTATCTCTCTCTATTTTAAATCTCTCCCAAATCTCTCTCAAAAGTTCCCGTAACTTTTTATAATCATTTGGGTCATCCTGACCTTTAACTGGGTCAAAAACAGCTCAAAAACGAAAGTCTACGCGAAAAACATCCTTAAGGAGCCGAAACCCCTCTTAGGAGCCGAACCCTAGGAGGACCGAACCTTCCTCTGAACCGAGGACCGAACCTCGCCTTCAGCTGAGGACCGAACCTTGCCTCCATCTGAGACCGAGCCTCGCCTCCTGCTCCTTTCCCTCCCCTCTCACCTTCGGTCCTCCCTTCTCTACTCTCGGTTCTCACTCCCTTAGGGCACAACCTTGCAGGT